GAAATTGAGACGAGTGTGTAACTCTGGAAAGCCATTGGAAATGATACCAGATTAAAGATGGCCTTGATCTCAGAAAGGAGAAGAGCAATTAAGGTTGAAAAAACATTGAGAAGGAGGGGCCAGTCGAAGCTGTGAGACCTAAATCAAATTTCCTAGAAGAAGGTAGAATCCAGTAAGATATAACACAGAGGCCATTGGAAAGCCAGGGCTCTTTGAAATGTACAGATGGCTGCCTAATGCATTTTACAGATATGTGTGAAATGTGAATAAAAGCTAATGTAATTGTTCAACAGTGTGGTGCAGAGGATGAAATCTAAGCACTTAATTTGGAATAGAGTACAGTATTAAGATGACTGCATTGATTGCTGTGAAGAATATGACAGATCTGAATGGGCTTGACAGAGAAAAAGAACTGTGATCTGTAATTTAGGAATCTAAAGGTAGTTATTTCTTTTAGGAGCACGTATTTTATTCAATCAACTTTCTTTATTAATTATTTTTAGACAATGTTTGGTACAGCAACATCATCAACAATAAGGATGCACTTGAACCTACAAAATAAAAATAAGTTTGTTCTGCAAATCTAATAGTACGTATTTTTTCCTCAATCTGTCTATCTCAAAATTTAAGAGATGATTTACTAAATAAGACATTTTACAATGAATAATTAGTTTCTATTCTTAATTTGTTCTCAAAATATTTATTATAAAGAAACATCAGGAAGTGTGTATGTATCTTTTTACTAATTTTCCACTTTAAGGCCCCCCTGGAAGAAGTGCCATTGTATATACTGGGTGCTCTGTCTGGAACCCAGAGGACACCCTAGAAAGAAATGGAGGCACAGTGGAAAGAGAAACTTCTCTTCACTCTTTTTGGGCTGCTGGTTCTCAGATAAGTAGGAGGGAAACTCCCCAGCCCCAAGCCCAGGGAATTTCCTGTAGTGTTTTTTCTGGGCTCCATCGTGAGGGCTTTGGAAAGAATTGGTCTTGTCAGATGCTGCTGCCTTCTCTTTATCGCCTCTCATAGGGAACCTCCTCTCGGCAAAACCAAAGTGGCAAAGTGTGTTTTCAGGAATCCTGGCTTTCCTCTTTGGGCTCCTTTCTGTGCTGCTGACCTTCCTGCAGCCCCAATGAAAATAATAAAATCGATTTAGTTGTTTATTTTGCTACTTAACTCAGAGGGGTTTATATTTCAAAACAAATGCTATTCATATTAAAAGTATGAAAATTTCAAGTATCAGAGTGAAATTCTGGGGCAGCTAATTTTAGATTTTGGGTACCTAAATGAGTAGAATCAATATTCAAAAACCATAAATGTTAATATACTAGATGAATTACAACATAAGGGATCGAGCAAAAAAGAAAAAAAAGAAAGAACTCATGGACATGGACAACAGTGTGGAAACTGCAGAGGGATGGGAAGTGGGTAAAGGTGAAGAAGGTCATAGGAGGAATAAATGGTAATGGGAAAAATACAATAAAAATAATACATGTATATAAGTGGATATATATATATGTGTGTGTGTGTGTGTGTGTGTGTGTGTGTGTGTATAGTTTGTCCCAAAAGTATCCAGCAATGTATTGTAAAAAAAGAGACATTTATTAAAGAAGATACAAGCTATAAGAAACATTGTATGGAGGACAATGCCACCTCAGTCGCCTTCAAAGTAGGCACCTTGGGACCTCATACAGTTCTCACAGCCTCTTTTTCACTGTTCAAAACACTCTGCAAAATCCTTTGTTGGAATCGCCACCAGCTCCCCATTGTATTTTACTGAATCTCACTGATGGTTGGTCTGAAATTCCTTCCCTTTCAAAGGTGATTCTAATTTTGGGAAAAGACAGAAGTCACAGGGTGCCAAATCTGGGCTGTAGTGGAGTTGAATCACCTGGGTGATTTGATGTTTTGCCAAAACACTGCATGAGACATGATGCACAAGCAGGCACGCTGTCATGATGAAGCAGCCAATCATCAGTTGCCCATAACTGTGGCCTTCTGAATCATCTAAATAGTTTCCACAGAGGAATGTTCAAGTTTAATGCAAAATTTGATGCAGATTCATTGCTCTATGCACTCAGTCATTTTGAATGTAATGACCACACAGTACACATGCTCACTCAATAGCGTGTACCACCCCCACTGATTACTACAGTGAAGTCATCACTGTTCACACATGCATACTCCAGTCCACTTTCCTTGGCTGGCAGGTTACATCCACATCACACAAACTGTTCTTGTTATATTAATAATCACTAGACATTTTCCAGACAGACCTGGTATATGTAAATAACACACATATATGTTATACACACACACACACACACACACACACACACAAAAGTTTTCCTCCATTAATTCTCCTCAGGCTTTTTTTTTTTCAGGAAACTGGTCCACATTGCTGTATTGCTGTGATCTTCTATCAGGTTCATGTGATGCAGGTTTCTGAATACTTGCAGTACAGTGAGGCTAAGATCTAATCACCTTAGAATCCCAGTATCGTCTTGCTTGGTATTCATTTGGAAGAAGCTATGCTATCCAAATAATTTTTGTTTATATCTTCACCAAAAGAGAAAGCTGCATATTTTCACTTCTGCTCCTATCAATGACAAACCTAGACATGACACCCACTGGGATGACTGCCTCTCCAACTTGCAACACTAAGAACGAAGAAAAAGAAGGATCAATAATAGAATGCTATTTTTGCTTCTTTTCTTTAGCTTGTTTAAAAAAAGGTGTAGAAGGAGCTAAATACAAATTATAGTAACAGAATAGATCACTGCCTGATGTGGAGGAAGGTCCCTGCATCGTGTGGCTCCCCCTAACATTCATCACATGTAAAATGTGCTTCAAAGTTCACCACAATAAATCTTCTGGTTTTCAGATAGAATTATAGTTCCCCAGCTGCTGAAAACTACTGCACACGGTACTCAACCTCAGATAGGGAAAACTCCCTATAGGTACACAGATTGTCTTTCCCAGTGTCATAGGGGATCATCAATTAATTTTGGAAGAGAAAGTAATGAGATGATACAACCAGTTTTCTGTTAGTGAGTCAGCTATATAATATGTCTATGCTTTATCTTTAGTTGTACACACTGTAGTTTACCTACTCCACCAGGTCTTTGTTAGGATAAAATTAAATAATGCTTATGAAATGCCTGGCAAATAAAAATCACTGAATAAATGTCAGTGATTACTATTTTTCCTCCAGTATTTGAGTTTGAAGAATGACTTCTCTCTTTGGGTAGGGGTGCTATTGGTTTGCAGTGCATCAGAAAGGCAGTGGGTAGGTTTCAGAAGCAAATCTGAAAATTATTATTAAATTAAGCTATAGGCAAGGCAATCATGAACAGCAACAACAACAGCAATGGATTGCTACCAAAAAATCTTAAGGGAATTTCAAGGAAATCTGTCAAAAATGCCTCCAAAGGAAATGTGAAACATGCTCTCAGTTGACTGTGTCCAGTTTAATTTAAGTAACTGACTTCTTCTGCAACTGGGAGCAAGGCACATACATAAATTGCAAAATGCATGAAAACAAGGTGTTTTGAAACACACATGACACTTCTGCCAACTGGCTTTACAATGGAGGCTAAAGGTACAGCTAACAAAGGTATGCTTACGGTGCTTCAGCAATGTAAAGAGTAACCCTTTATATTAAGTACTCTGGATGACCTGGAAAGATTTTTTTTGTCATTAGATAATGATGGGGAGAATTTCCTGTAAACTGGTAGGTTGATGAATCAATGTGAATATAAAAAGTGCCTTTGGTTGATGAAAGAAGTTTTCTGAGCTGTGTTTCTCTCAACTTAATCTCTAATATGGCAGAAGAATATGTATCTCTACCTGGATAACTCCCTGACATCTCTTTAAAAACTCGAGATCCTCTGAAAATCACTATGTCCAAAAGTATCTCATCATCTACCCGTCCCAAACACTCCCAGCACCAAGCTTCACCTCTTCTTGCATTCCCTGTCATATCTTTGTCATAGACAAAGGTACAATCATCCACAACCCACTTTTGTAAGCCAGAAATTTAGGAATCATTGTTTTCCTTCCAAGTCTACACATCATCAAGGACTGTTGATTTTACTTCCTAAATTTCTCCCTCTGTCCATCCCTTTTCATCTTCCCTACTATCCGTCTAATCTAACTCACCATTAGCTTTTTCCTGGACTATTGCAATAGCTTCTTACCTGGTCTAATTCCACATGCCACCCCCCACCTCCCACCACAACGTGGCTCTTTCCACTCCAAAAATATTCTCACATCATAGCACAAACCAGACCCCATTATCCTACCATCCACCCCATGCTGAAAACTCTTGGATTATTTCTGATGGTTTTAGGATGAAGAGAGAAAACAAATGCTTTAACATGATCTACGAAGCCCTATCCCAACTCCTTCATGTCACTCCAATCTGTCTGCCTCAGCCCCAGCCACACCAGCCTCTGTGGGCTCACAGCGCTTCCTCCTGCCCGAGCCAACCTTGCCAACCCTCACCGCCTAGTCCTCTGCTCAGGTTTCAGGTCAGTTGCCATTCCCTTGAGGAAACCTTCTTTGACCTTCGGATCACATCAATTCCGTTATACACTTTCATGGCACTTTGCAGCTCTCCTTCATATTACTTAATGAAGCTGTGGTCTTACTTTGTGTACACGATTAATATTTTTCTTTCCTATTAATATGTAAGTTCTGGGAGAAAAGGGATCATGTCTATTTTGATACCAGTTTGACCCAGCCCAAGTATGTCTACAACCTAGTATTGCTCAATAATGCATATTATAGAGTGAATTATGAATAAACATTAGGTAAATTTTCCACATTGCTTTCAGAGAAGACACTATACTGTTTTTGCTTTAAAAAAAAGCCTCAGCAGGCAGTCTGTTGTGTAAAACACCCAGTTTGGCTTGTGAATATAAGTACAAAAATGGTTAACACAACCAAACTGAAGAAAGGAGGTGGGGTTTTGCCAAGAGTGAGTTTCAAATGTCGTTTACCTTTAGTTTTAAAGAGTTCAGCTTTTCCTCCCTGAGGTGTTCTCGTAACATCTCTCGGTGGAGTCTCTCCTGCTCTCTGGCAAATTCGCCGAGAGTGTACTGGCGCACGCTGTTGTGGCGGCTGGACATGCCCAGGGTGCTGCCCCCTTGGCTGGGCACGCTCGTGAAGCCTTGCCTCCTGGTGAAATAGTACACGGTGACACAACTGAAATGCACATTCTTTGTCCTCAGCCGCTTCTCCCTTTTGAGAATGGAGGAAGCTGAAAGAGAAAGAAACGATACAGTGAAGACCGAGGGCAGTGATTTTTAGATGAGGCGAGGAATTAGAAACTGCCGCCTGAATCTTTGCCAAATTGTTTCTGACAGGGAGACACAAGAAATGTCATTATCTCAGAGTTAGCACAGATTTCTCTTCCTTTTCTTAAATCTTTTTCTAGCTGTGGTGGAGGAGACTTTTAAGTCCTATAAATAGCAGTAGTCTAAACAAACTTTTAGGAAAGTCGCCAGTAGCCTATGAATCAGTAGCAGAATTTGATTTTTCATTTCCCCTAACCCCTGACGTTTTGGTTTCATGGTTTTCAAATAAGTTGTATCATACTATAATTAGAAAAGACACACACTACAAACCTCCACATTTTGGATCTTATTTTTATATTGAGGGTGCTTGGCATAAAATATGTGTCTGTTGAAAAATTTTAGAAAACTCCAAAAAGCAAAAAAAAAAAATCACAAAAATGTTCACTGGCACTGTTTAGATATTTTTACAATCTAAATCTAAAAAAGCTTTTATTTGATATGAATCTCTCTCACTAGTACAATGAACAGTGGGATTTTCATCAAGTGTGCACTGAGACCATTGGAAATGCCATGGGATGTTTTATAATTAGTTATGGGAACATCAAGATACACAGAGCATCATGGAGCATGGAGATACACACTGTAGTTGATGGAAAGAAAGTCACACATTGTAACCAGGGGCTTTTAGAGTTGAAAGACATGCTAGATATCATCTAGATCAGCTCTTTTATTTTAGAGTGAAGTGACTCAGGCTTGTAAAATTTGAGGGATTTCTTTTAGTGTAGTTAGTGGCAAAACTAATCTTCAACCTAAAAGCTCCCAGTCTGGTGCTATATTATATGATGTTTCTCCACTGGGTAAGGAAAGATACAATGAATTGAAGAGAAGTATATAGAATCATCCTGTTATGGCTGAACTGTGCTCACCTACCCCCAAAATATGTTGAAGTTCTCACCCTCAACATCCCAGAATGTAACCTTACTGGGGAATATGGTCTTTACAGAGGTAATCAAGTTAAAGCGAGTTCTTTAGGGTGGGTCTTAATCTAATACGCCTGGTGTCCAGGTACAAAGGGAACCTTTGGGCACAGATGTGCACAGCAGGGTGATGTAGATAGCAAGGGAGGGGCCTGGGTGAGGATGTACAGACATGTGGATTATGCTGCCAACGCCAAGGAATGTCTGGGGCTACCAGAAACTAGAAACGGCCAGGACAGGTTCTTCCCTTACAACTTTCAAAGGAAGTACAGCCCAGCCAATCTTCACTTTGATCTTCTAGTCTTCAGAATTGTGAGGCAAGAAATTTCTGTTGGTCTAAGCCACTGGGTTGGTGGTATATTGTTACAGCAGCCCTAGGAAAATAATACACATGCTCAAATAGAAAAACAAACAAGAAGAAACAATGAACTGAGAAGAAATCCTTGGATGGCAAAAAATAATATAAACTAACATTTATGGAGTACTTTCCAAGTTCTGTATTATGCAAAGAACTTCACACAAGTTATCTAATTTTATCTGTTTAACTCCTTCGGTTGATACTACCCATGTCTCCACTTTGAGGAAACCAAGTGACCAAAGGTTAAACAACATGGCTAAGATCATACAACCAGGGATGAAGTTGGGATTTATTCTCGAGCCTAGGATTTCAAACATCATGTCACAGAGAGAGTCGAAGCCACTCCAAGGGAACTGCATGAAGCTGAGAGATGTTAGCTGCTGCTGTCTTTGAAGGTGATTTTGATTTGTAAGATTGTATAAGCAATTAAAAAAAGAGAGACTACATATCACTTTGGCTTTATATAAAAATCTTTTCCCAAGTGAGCTCAAGGTTTTATTTCCTCATTCTCCCACCCTGTCCCATAAAGTATTTAATTCAACAGAGAGGCTGCTATGGCTGATCTCATTTCACAGATTTGTTTATTCAATAAGTACAAACCAAGGGCCTACTATGTGCCAGGCACTTTCTAGATGACTGGATACACTGGCAAATAAACCAGATGGTGATCCATGACCATGAAACTTTCATTTCCAGTGATGAGAAGCTCAGACAGAATGAACAGACTCCGAAGAATACAGAGTGAGAGAAATATGACATTTGGGCAAGAATTTACCTTTCCCAACTTCCCCTCCTCCCTACTGTTATACTTCTCCCAAGGAGATTGCTAGAAAGTAAATGCTTTCAAACATGTACGTAATTCTCCCATTTATAATATTTATGCGTATGGTCACTGCAACGTGTACTTCTGGCGGCAGCGAGAGTTTTCAGCTTTGATTTAAAAGCTCCGATCTGCTTCATAACTGTATGTTTAAATCATCTCAAAAAAGGGAAGAATTTGTAAAAAATGTAAAAGATCACCATAGAAAGAAAAATTCAACAATCTGTCTAGGTAATCTGGCAACCTCATCTGTCACCCCTACAGCAGGCTAGAGCTTTTCTGGTTTGGGGGTGATAACCTGCAATCTTTACGCCCTTGATGTCATAAAAATGATGTCCTTAAGCCATTATCTTTCAAGGCCAGATAAGCCAGATACATTTACAGATAAGAAAAAAATTAATGTGCTAATTTAAGATAATTATTGTAAACACCTCTGACAATTTTATTACTTATTTCTTCTCAGACAATTCACAGTACTCTAGACAAATTTCCTTCTTAAAAATTTATTTAGATCTTGTACCTATATTTTTAGATTATGAGATGAACACTTCAACCTTCTGCATGAATGTATTGCCCCACCGTTTCCTGAAAAGCAGATTATCCTTTTCAAAAAGTCATTTTACAGAGGATTTTCTAATAGCAGAGTAGGGCCCTTCACCTGGGCTCTTGTTGTTGCCAACATTATCAAATTGTACTGAGATTTGTTCTGCTTCCTACCGCACTAGGGTTTGCAAAGTCAAGCCTGTGCTTATGCTTGTTTTATCATTTGCATATTATAAATAGCACTGCCAAAAGGATAATTGAAAAGCCTACAAAATATTTTTAGACGGAAGGCTTTGAAACCTGTAAGACCAACCTTAGGAGGCACCTTCTGATTGAATTGGAACACTAGAATAGTCTTTCTGGGCTATCTTCTGCCTCCAGGCCCTAATTTGACTAACATCACAAAATGAAGCCATAAAAAAAAGACTCTGTGTTCTTCAAGCCTGGGAAAAACACACAAATTCACTCAACACATCTGCCTTAGGGAATCCGAAACTTCCCTGTTGTACCTATCTAGTAATTTGTGCCCTTTGCAGAATGATTGAACTCAACTTTGTGTCTCTAGAGAGTTTAGTTAGTGTTCAGTTTACTACTGTGAGGTCAAGAGCAAGAAAAAAGTGGGAGGAGAAAGTGTGTTTCATCATTGCTCTAAAGAATAATTAGTCTGTTTTCATGCACAATACTATTTTTTTGTGCGTCTGCATCTTTCCAACCCCTTTTCTTTTATCCCATTCACAGTTACCCACCTCCCTTCCCGGAAGCATAAGTGTCTAATGCAATGGTACTTTATATACACTGCCTAGATCACAGCTCTTAGGAACACCATTATGGTTACCACATTAGGGCATGCTGGTGTTACTATAAAATGATCACATATTATGGAGATGATGTTGATCTTTATGAATTAAAAAATAAATTGTACAGAGTAACTGATATTAGTTTATCTGTAGAAGTTATACTCCCCAAAAATGCTTTAGAAATGAATGGGAAAGAAAACTGGGAAACTGACTCACTCACAATGCCAGGGTATGAATTTAATTAAACTAAAATAATCTGTACCATAAATTATGTATAAAGTTCATGGAAAGGAATTAAAAATGGAAGCCAATACTAGAAATGGGACCATTGTGTTTCCAGGGCCATCTGGGTGAGCCAGTGTTCTGATGACTCCGATGTTCTGAATATTCTGATCCCACAGAGGAGAGGGGGATATCAGGGTAGCAGAGTTGACTTACATCAAACTCTATGAAAATTCAGCTGATTTTGCTCCATTTCCACTCATAGACCAATCTGTTCATATAAATTGGATGACTTGACTCATTCACTTTATTTCTTACTAAAAATAATCAAATGTGTTCTAAATTTATACTTTAGCCATTAGTGAATGTGGTTAGCGTGTATCATGTCATCCGAAACTGCCTTCTCTGCATGTACAGGGACCATCGTGGACCTGGGCCTGTCAGGTTGAGGGCCGGATTCCAGACCATTGACGCTGCCACAGTGCAGCCACCCTGGATCTCACGCTGGCACAGCACGTCAGTTACCCTCAGTGCAGACCTGTTCCTTTTTGTGCCCACAACTATCAGTGACGCCCTGGATTAACTGCGAAGGCAGACAACAGTAAACAAAGCTAAGTATTTTGGCACTAAATTTGGCACATTGAAATTGAGAGTTCGTGATCCAGACTGATGTTAAACAGAGGCTAAATTATGGAAAATATTATTAACTCTACTATTTGGGTCTAAAGTCAATAATACACTTCTCTCTCCTATGCATTATGCACAAAAGCAAAACATCAAATGATTTTTAAATCTATATTTGGAGTTTATTTTTCATTTATCTGGGAGAAATTTAGTACAAGCAAACTGAGATCTGGGAGAAATTTAATACAAGCAAACTGTGATTGCTGAAATTAACTTGTTCATCTTGGTAAAGCCTGGGCTATTAAAACTTGTGTTTTTAAAACATACCGACCAAATTAATCAGGGGCTCTGAAAGTGTGCATGTTGCTTTTCATCTTTTGAAGAATAAACCAAGATCAAATAAGACTTATGAAGTATTTAGGTGTAGCTTACAAACCAAAAATCTAGTTTCACCAGGAGATACTTAACCTAGATATTAGCCTAATAGCTTAGATAGTAAGTTAGTTTCCAATGGTTAAAATTATTAAGATTTTTAAGAAATTCTTAATCTTAACAAGGGACTTCTTCAAATTTCCTTTGATCATATTCTCACATTTTATCCACCTTGACATGATTGTCAGGG